TTTATACTAACAAATTTTGCAATCTTATATAAAATGTAAAATGTAACTCAGTTTTAATTTTTCTTCAAATACTTTTATTATTAAAAATTTTATAAGAATTTATTGACCTCAAAAAAACAAGAAAGAATCAAAAATATTTATCGAAGAGAAACTATCTATTAAAAAAATTAATTCATTTTTAATTTAATAATAATATTTTTATTTGATTGACGCGTTCTAAATATATTTATTAATTACGCTGGGCGTTGATACTGTGCTTACAAAAATATACATTTATTTCTTTCCAAGCTTATATTAAAATTACATATTTTTAAAAATATTATTTTATAGAGTCATCGTTGATTAAATCTAGCAGAATAAATATAATATCATATAAATTTTTAATTTTTAGAATTGACTTACCTATTTCTTGGATATGCCATATCATGTTCATAGTAAATTGGGAATATGGAATTGTACAAAGGATTCAAAGGTGCATTATACCAGCATCAGGTTAATATGTTGTTAATATATTTGATTAATATTTTATTAAGGCATATATCAAGAAAGAATTTTAAAATTTTTTTGTAAATGTACCTTCAATTACTAAGAAAGACAGAAATGGCATTTCCGTTTTAGCTTTAGACGAATGTTACCCTATTCCCTAATTTTATTTACCCTTGAAAAATATTGAGAACATTTTCCAATAATAATATTATTACTGAAGTAGAATTAATGATATCAGATGCTGAAGATTTATTTCATGATATATACAATAAAGCCATTATCAAAGGAACAAAATTATTTTATTATAAATTAAAAAATTATTAAAAAACTCCAACTCAATTTCAGATTTTTTTTTTAAATAAAAAAAAACTCATGGAATCAAAATCCATGCCCACCTACAGCTTTGGCCAAAAGAGAAAGAATAAAAAAAAACACAAATATAATATTAGCTAATCTTTTTTATATATTATTTAATAAATATTTTTGTTTATAATATTTTTAGCAATTTAATTTTATAGATTTTTATCTATATTTGTATATATATTATATTTTCTTATACATCTTATATTGTTGAATAAAATTATTTTATAAACTATATTGCTTCATTTATCACAAATTAAATTTATTATATATATCCTTTAACAGAATAAATTTATTACAAAGTAGTTTGTGTACACCATTATTTTCATTTCAATTTAAATTAAATACTGGATATTATATTGAAGTTAGTATTGAAGATTTTCTGGTGATCGAGTTGAAAGTTTAATTATACTTATTGGTTGCTAATTTATTTTGATAATCATATCTAAATATTAACTTTAAGTTTTTAATAGATATACTCAGAGAAAGTCTTAATCTTGTCTATCTAATATTTATAAAAAGTATTTTAGCAATAGCACAATATTATATCATGATAATTTTCAAGATTTTTGTCAATATAATCATAAATTAAAATAATGAAGAATGAAAATGTAGTGATTTAACTTTACTGATTTACTTTAAAAAATATATTATACACCAAATTATTTCAAGATGTTTACTAATATTTCACGCCAACTTTCTTAATTTATCGTATTAATTTATATCGCCTTTAATTGTATATAAGTGTAAAATAAATATCTGACAAAATTATTATTCATAAACTGTTAAAAAAATTAAAATAAATAAAGCAATTTTGTATATCTAATTTTTAATATTAAGCCAAAATAATTTGGAGGATCTTGTATCAATATAAGCCTAAATTAAAATTATGATGAACGAGAAATTTTACCCTTTCTCCTTAAATTGCTATAAAATAGTAGTAATTTACATTAAAAACAAAATTAAAATTCAATTTTAATAACAATTTATCTCAAAAATTGTCTGGTTTTTCTTAACACTTGCCAATTAATCGTGTGATACATGATATATAGCCCTTTTGTCCTCTAGCGTTGAAGGTTCAACAGAGCTACGCTAGGTTTTCCTCATTTCCATCTAATTGAAACTAATTTAATTTGTGTATAAAAGTAAAAATATGAGGAGACCTCCACATGTTTGTGGGCAAGCCGCAAGTACTTGTAGGCGCAACATTTCGAAAAATATTACTTAAACCTCTATAGGCTTATTAGAATGGAGTGGGGCAGAAAAGGAAGCTATACCCGAGAACTAAAGTATAATTTAATTAATTTAAGGGTGGATGGTGGCTGATTTTAAGTTTAAATCCTTTAGTGTAAGATTTAGGATTGCTATCAATATTGAGATTTAATGTTCATAGAATCTGTAAATAAAGATGATTAAATAAAAAAAAATTGCATGATCAGTATGATATAATATTATTTCTTATTGATGCATCCATACAATACAGTATTATCACTTATACTTCCAAAGCTTCCAAAATTTTTGCACCGGATAAACCGCCATTTTAAAACTTTCAATTTTATGAATCTTGTGATGTGAAAACTTTATAAAAATTTATTTTAAAAAAAACCATCTGCAACCTAACTATAAAGGTGCTTTATATTTCTCAACTCGATGAGCTTTTATCCAAATGCAAATTTCGGATCATAGGTTAATTATTTATTGCCATTATTCTCATGACTGGGTAGGTTATGCCATTATTTTTATAGAAGTATCTTTAGCTTTGAATATTCTTTAATAATAAATATCATTTATTCCTTCTCTGAGAAAGGATTAGATAAATATAAATATAATCTATCAGTTTTCTAATGAACCAGTGACTTTCAGGGGCCTAACTAACAAACCTCAACAAAATTACAACACAAAAATTTTAAATTTATTTTCTAGTAATATATATTTTCTTTTTCCATTAAAGAAATTCAAGAAAAATATAATGATCATTTCATTAAAAAAATAAATTAAAATCCAAACTAAATATATTGATTGATGTTTATTTAAAAAAAATATTATTAGCAGTATTTATTGAACATTGCGACACCTACAATATCGCGTATCCTGTAAATAATTTTGATCAAACTTTAATATTTTAAATTAACCCTTTCGCGCTCATGGATAACTTTTGGAATCATAATTTTTCAATAGTATTTTTTATGTATTAAAAATAACCACTGATAACTTTTGAAATCATATTTTTAATTTTTAATATTTGCTGTTTCGTATTTTATCAATAACTCGCTTTGTTACATATGTTATTATATCATATTATAGTTATAAAAAATCAATTTTTTCGTACCAATTTCGCGCCAAAATTTTAATTCATATTTCTGGTTATCAAATCTTGCTAAAAATATAATTAATAATTTTATTATTATATATATATATATATATATATTAATATTTTTATTTAAAAATTATCATCTTTTTAATCATTTTATGTGTTAGAAATTGAACATAATGCCATTTGGCATCATTGGTCATTTCTTATGCACTAAAATATTTTTTATCAATAAATGGAAATTTTGGGCAAATTATTTAGGATATTTAGATTTAAAATTATGGAAACGGAAGGGGGGGGGGTAATTAGATTAGATTTTGATAATAGTTACCTATATTGATTATCTAATATCTATTAGTGGGTTTTCTTGGATATAGGGAGAGGTTCTAATAAATATTTTATATAAATAACATGTAATATGAAATGCTTTTTATATCAATATGCATTTAGATATGACTACACTTATCCCCGAGAGTGATATATCTGAGGCTGATATAGAGGGCTCAGACGAAGAAGACAATTATTATTCTTTGCTGGCAGATGATTTGCCGACTTCATCTTATATTACAAATCAATTAGGCCTTGATGTGGAGGATATAATAGAAGATACTTCTATAATTAAAATAAAAAATAACACCATGTGGTCTAAGAAAGACATAGGAAATATGAATACAGAATATATCCCTATATTAGAAATTCCTGAAGAGGATTCAACTCCACTAACATATTTTCGTAAATTTTTTGACAATCAGATAATCAGTAATTTTGTATCGGAAACAAATAATTATTCATTCCAATGTTCCGGTAAATCTATAAATACAGATAGTGATGAAATTGAAAAATTTATTGGGATACATTTATATACTAGTATAGTTAAGATGCCTTCTATACGACAATATTGGTCTGTTGAAACATCTATTCCCTCTCCTTTATTTATTTATATAAATGGCTTATTATATCGGTTAAAATTCATTATTGTTAATTGTGATATATGAAATTTTGATTTAATAAAGCCTTAGGAATGCCAAAGCCATAAAGGCCAAGGCATCCAGTTACATCCAACTTTCCCGCAAATAGGGGAAAGTTAAAAGGATGTAACGGCGAATGAACCCCGGGTCTGAATCCCGGATCTGTAAATGTAGAAATGCCCGCAATAATTAAAAACTATAATGAGGGAATGGGTGGAGGAGATCTTCACGATATGCTGGTGGAGTTATATCGGACAGATATTAAATGGAAACGATATTATATGCGAATGGTTTTCCATTTATTGTATTCTTGTGTGGTAAATGCCTGGCTCCTATATAGACGCCATATGAAGGCGTTAAATAATATAAAATTTATGCCTTTACTGGTATTTAAATCGCAGATAGCAAAAGGGTTGATGTTTGCAGGAAAGGATAATACAAAGAAAACCAGCAGACCTTCCAGCATAGATGTTAAAAGAAGAAAAGCTATCAACAATGCCCTCATATCGGATATAAGATATGACCAAGTAGGTCATTTCCCAATGCCCGTAAGTATTAAGCAAAGGTGCAAGTATTGCGTAGAAGCCTATTCAAGAATTATTTGCAAAAAATTTAATATTTATTTATGTTTAATAATAAACGAAATTGTTATTTCATATGAAATAAAATATTTTTTAAATGAACTTGCATTTTGCCCATTGATAACAATTGGAATCATTGAATATCTTTTGATAGAAATACTCGAAATAAGTTTTTTTGATGAAAATGTGTTATTTGTGTCTATAATAAATAACTCTTAAAAAAAAAAAATTTTTCATCGAGGGAAAAAAAGTCGGGCGCGAAAGGGTTAATATTTTTGGTTTTAACTTTTAGTGTTCGGTTTAATTTTTACACATGAATAATTTTTTAATTAATCTTCCTTCTTTTCGTGCTCAGAACTTTTCCATATATGATTCAAATGATCAAAATTGTTATGTAAAAGATAAGAGAGTATTAATTAATTATTTTATTAACATATTTTTTTGGCGATTTAGAATGATTCGAAACAATGCGATAATCAAATTAGAATCATAGATAATCAAAATGAAACAAGTAAATATTTTAAAAATATATATATTTAAACATTCTTGTTTAGGAATTATTACTGAACCTCTTGAATGTATTGTATCACATATCAAAAGAAATACTGAAAGATATAAAAAATTAAATAAACAAAAGATGGATCCATTATTAAATTCACATATCACAAAATATTCATTAAAAAGTATTACAAATAAACCCAAAAACAATGAAAATTTAAAAGATAATATAGAAACACATAGAATATCACATTTTAAAAAAGTTTCAAAAAAATTAAAAGGTCAAAAAATTTGATTTTTATATGCAATAAATTGTAATTTATATATTTTTAAACATCGTATAAAATAAAATAGATATTTTTATTATATTGATTCCATCAATTATATTTTTATAGTAGAAGGGTCATTAAATAAATAAATATAAATAGTATTTGTAATTTTATTTAAGAATTAAAAATGCAAATATATATCAAAAGTAAATAAACTAAAATATTAAAAACAGAGGGGGGGGGTTAAAAAAATCAGGAATAGATCTGAGGATGGAGATTAAATTAGATCTACATATCTCAACAGTGCCATGCCAAGACTTTTGACCACCTAGGGCAAAAAATAATTTGGAAGCCATTAAAAAACACAATTTAAATAAGCTTTTGTTAATTTTTTTTAATGAGAACTAAAGGCATATTTATTCTATTAAATTTTAATCATATATGAGTAATGCACATTATAAAATTAATATAATCATAAACTAAAATGCAATTTTATTTATCCTCCTTGCCTTTTTATCTGCAAAGGAGGATATTATATCAGTATAATATTTAATGAGTGAGAAGTTGCAGATGCCACAGTAGTTGGAATGGTCAAGGTAATCCTTAATACAATGAATATATTTGGTAAGGATTCATTTAACTTATATGTGTTTTGTAAAATTTCCAATGTAGATTTTATGGGGTGCTTGTTTAATTAAAACTTTCAATTATATCTTGCTGATTAATATTTCCTAAAGTATCCTAATCTGTGAATAAAATATTAATTTTCCTTTAGCTCTCTTTCAGGGGCATTTATCATTCTGGTATAATAAATAAGAATCCATAATAATTTTAAAGGACTTTAACTGCTAGAAACGTCTCACTTGATCTAGTAATGCATTAAAAAATTCAATCTCATTTTTTTTGAGTGTCATGTATAAGCGTGTCATCTCCTATCGTAAATTGTTTTTGTACTATCCGTCTACACATTAATGTTATTGAAGGAAAAACTGCCCTTCTAACCTCATTTCTGATTCCAGCGTAAGCTCTTTTTATGAATCATGGGATATCTCATTGCCGTTTTCCTTAAACGATCTAAAATATATTGCGTAAATATAGTCACTTATGACCAATTCCACAAAATAAGATCTTTCAAAATTAAAAAACGCGTGCATAATTCATGTTTTTTAAAATAAGCATCCTTAAATTTAAAGTAACCAAGCTAAATTATTATTGTCCTGTACTGCAATAAATATAATATAATAAAAAATTTCTTATGCGAAAAATATTACTTCTTAGTAATTTTCTTTATTTTTAATAATTTTTTACAGTTATTTATTTTAGTTAAAAGTTTGCACATTTTAGCAGCCCCCCTTTTAAAACACGACTTGATATTAATTCATCTCATTTGACTTCTGATTAATACACTTTTTGTTATAATCTATAACTACTTAATTAAACATAATTTACCTTAATTTTTTTTAGTTGTCTTTTTTTGAAATCGAGTTAGTCATAATCGAATAACGAATAATACTTATTTCATCCGTATAAATAATAGAATTATTCGATTCGAAATTTTCAAATTGTATTTAAAAATTATAACTTAATTTTATTGATGTTTGTAATTAAGGCTAAGCGTAATCTCGGCGTCCCCTTATTTGCAGCTGTATTATTCTAAATTTATAAAAAATAATGCAATATGTTTTAAAAATAGTCATTTAATGATACAATTAATGTATGATTCAATATTATGTTTTAGTTGACTATAAAATCATAAATATTTGTCACCAGAGTGACGTATTATAAAAATTGCAACTTTTATTGAAAAACAAGCATATAAAAATGACTATTGATAAGTGATGAGTAAGTACAAATAGTAGTTGGATTATCATTTGATCGTACTAAACAAAATTACCTCTAACAGTTTTCAAAAAAGTAAAAATAAAATTTCATGGAAAGTAGACAAATATTCATTTAAAAATTTTGAGTCAGTTATCGAAGTATAAAAATATAAAATATTCTTTAGTTTTACTTCATGTTTACAAACATTTTATGTAACATTCTTTGGTCTATAATTTTTAAAAAAGATATACCTTAATGACACTATCAATAATCCAAGACGCATATTTATATTAATGTTTCAAAAATATTTATTTCCAAGTAAAAACTTTCATGAATCTAAATAATTTGATCGCACTTGAGAAAGAGCTTTAAAGGTGGAGAAGTGATGTTATTTTTTTCAAAGAATATTTTTAATATTGTGTAAATAAGGCTATAAATCGTGTGAATTCGGACAATTAAAAATTTAAGGGTGACAAAAGTTAAAAGGGGGTGGATTCTGAGCCCTGCGACATATAATATCGAAATACAGGAAAGGAAGAACGGCTCTCAGAATAATAGCGAATCGATATTTGGGTTCGAATATATTCATTTCGGTCCTACGTCGGTTTCCTGACAAACCCCTTAAAATGGTGTCGGCTACCTATATGGTTTTATAAGAAAATATTATAAAAAATTATTTTATAAATTCACAACCTATACATTTATCCATAATATAATAAATTCAGATAAAATAAATATGTTATAAGAAAAACTGACCTTTAAAGGATCCATGCCCTTTGTAGTAGTGGAATCCACTTCTACGTCAAATGCGATGAATATAATTTGTTTTTAAAAATAAATTTATTAGTGATTAAACGTTAAGTGAACATTTATTGGTCTAGAATTGGAGTGCTCCACTTGCAAAATTGTTAAAGCTGAGAAAACCGATTTTAAAGTTTAGATTCAAATATAAGATTAGACTCCTATAAGTAAAAATTGAGAGGTCATTTATATTACTATTCCCAAATGCTAGCCTAAATTTTTTTGTGAGAATTTTTTTTGATAAAATCGAAATGGAATTGGAGTAAAATAAACACTTTATGAATTTTTTTTGTTGAATTTAAATTTTATTTGTGAGAATTTATTAAATAAAGCAAAATAAACCGAGGTAACTATATAAATCATCAAATTATGTAATATAAACACAATCTTTATTTAATTCGAATTTATGAATCCCGGAAAAAAACCCCCGGAAAAAAAACCTCCAGGAAAAAAAACCCAAATTTTTTTTTCAAATTTACTTAAGATCTAATAATATCGGTATATTTTTATTTGGATTTATATAAGGTATAGACGAATTAGTATTTTAGAAAAAAATATTATAAAAATATAATTTAATAATAAATTATATACATAATAATGATTTATCAATGAAATAAACAGATCTTATTGCAAATTTTGTCAAATTTAGTCTACTTAATATATTAATTAAGGAGGGATATTGTATTTATTGCTATAGCAATTTAGACATTATTACTTCAAATATTTTTTCGTAGTGGCATTCGCTTATAAAATTATTTATCAATATTAATTATTGCTAGGTTATACTAAAAAAATTAAGTGAAAATTGAGAAGAAAAAAATTGAGAAAAGGTCAGAAAAATAAAGATTAAAAATGACAAAGCAAAAATGGGAAGAAAATAATAAATTGAGAAAAAAATTGACAAAAAATTTTTTTTAAAAAATGAGGATTTTTTTTTAAATTTTTTTTCCATGGGGTTTTTTTTTCCTGAGGTTTTTTTCCGAGGGTATTTTTTCCTATTACCCGGATTTATATATAGAAATAATAATTTAACTGATTTTATGCCAATATTTATCAATATTAAAAAAAGTTGCTCAACCAGTGATTATAAGATATAATTAGGGGTGTGCCGATCCACATATTTTTCATCGATCACCGATATTGCTTCAAACTCGATCCGACACCGATCCGATATTTTTACTGATTTTTAATCACCCCCGTTTGAACCAAATATAATTAAGAAATCAATAATTTTTATGCAAAAAATCGAATTATGAATATTTAATTTTTTTATTTCTACAATTAAGACTATAATAAAAAAATATATATTTAATAATATATCCATTTTATGTTGGAATTATAAAATTGTAATATTTAAATATAAAATTATAATATATTAGATTTTTTTAATAAATATGAGAGCCTCTAGATTTTCTGGGAATAAGCTTCTACGATATGGACTATCTATATCTCCTGCCGTACTGAGAGACTCAGATGATTCCGCAATAACGCATTTTACTAAATTATCTTTGTCTTTTGTAAAATATTTCGATAATTCAGATACCATATTTAAAAAAATTCTTTTATTTAAAGTATAAATAAAAAAATTAGCGTTATTCAAAAAGATTTAAAATAAATAAAACTTTGGGTGTTCCTTTCTATTTTTATAAAAAAAAACTACATAAAATAAAATAACAAAAAAAAGAAAAGTTAAAAGATCGGATCGGTTTTTTGCAGGTATCGGTCCGATCCGATCAGAAAACGCTAAATATCGGTACCGATCCGATCCGATATTTAATATCGGCACAGCCCTAGATATAATAATATCATAGATAGTTCATATATAGCAAAAATTAAAATAGCCCAATATTGACTAGTGCTCTAATGTGGCTAAAAATTATTTTTTTTAAATCTAGTTTTTATTTATATTTAGTAAAAATATCAATTATAATTCACCCCTACAAATGTATTAAAAATGTCAGAGTACTTCAATTCTAGAATATATGTTATAGACATTTAGATAATGGTCAGGTATATTAATATATATTTTTAAATGTATTAAAAATAATCCCACTTTAAAAAAAGTTCTTTATTCAGGAATGAAACATTTCTTCTAATTGAGGGATAATTTAAATCTTTTGAAGGTAGAAACAACAAACCAAACTAATAACTTTCAGGTCTGACCAACATATTTTTCTTACTTAATTATAACAAAACTTACTATTTTAAAAACATAGCAATGGTGTGAATATACCAGAATTGATGAACAGGATAAGATAATTAATTATATTAACAAATTCATGACTGTGTACTGCTGAAATGATAAGTTATCAAGAAAAAAAAAGTAAAAGCATGTTTTGTGAGAAAGATTGGGAGGGAGGGGGAGGGAGATCATGTCATGACTTGTGAAAAGGAGCTTTTATCATATTATTTTTAATAGTTTAAAGAGAAATAATGGAAAATATATTGAAGAATTATGATATCAACCCTTAAAAATATTTCAAAAAATCTTTAAATAACTATTGTATAGAGCCCCATCGTATGTGATAGCGTTGAAGGAAAGCTTCGTGTTTATGTAGCCTGGATTGACCAGGGATATAAAAATATTGTATTTCGACAACTCGGCTCTGAGACAATCGGTGTATGCTTGTAGGGCATGCTTTGAAGCCGAATCTTTAAAAATAATAACATTGTTATCGCTGTGAATTTGATTGATATTTTAAAGCTTAAAACTAATGAGAGGGTGGGATAATCCTATTGCTTTCACAATTATTTATTCTTATGAAAACCCATCTAAATCCACGAATACTATCTAGTTATAGGGTTATATCAAAAATAAAAACTATATTGTAGGTGAACTAAAATGCCAAGAGAGATTATTTTGGTCATAAAGATATTTGAAGATTTATATAAATTCTTCTTGAATGAAACTTAAAATTTAAAAAAAAAGTATTTTGCATATCTTCTTAAAGACCGAAATAATCTTTTGTAAATTTTAATATATTTTTTTTATATTTTTCAATATATGGTTTAAGATATTTATAAAGACAAATTATTAAAATATCTGATCGCTTAACTATAAGTTTCCTGATAAATCAAGCAATATCATAAATTTCAAATATATATGTAGGCATTAATAAGATTACATGCAGATCTAAATGGAATTGCCAGTTTTCCTTGAAGGCTACAAATATTAACTATGACGCCATATCTTTTTTCAATCATGTAAGGTAAAAATCCTGATAAAATTTTTTATTTGTTAATGTGAAAAATATTATTTTAATATTTCTTGTATAAGTACACAAAAGTTATAATATAAAACAAAATGAACTTATAATAAAAATCACTTATTTCAAAAATTACAATTAAAATTTTTCGCTCTTATTTTTTCTAAATTCTAATCTTTTAAAGATAGAACAACCTTTTATTAATTGTAAAGGCCCAAAATAGTTGGTTTCCATCAATAGCCTATGAACTGATATCTCAGTGTTCGATATTTCGCCCCTATAACTTATACCAGCATTGTTAATTAGTATATCTGGTGATGATTCATCAAATATTCTTACAAATTCTTGAGTGAAATTGAAAATGGATTTGGGATCTGATACATCTAGTATGCACAAAGTTGGCACAAAAATCAAATCCTTTGTAAAGATGAATATATAAAAAATTATGTTTAAGTTATTAATAAAATATGTATAATAAAATTAAAATATTTCATATAGATTCATTCATCTAAATCTAAATACACTTTTTAGCCCTGCTAGATTACTACTAAAAACATTCGTATTCAGACGAATTCAGTTGATTCTTAAATTTAAATATTTGTACATTATAGCATGACTTTCATCTTTTAGATTACGCTGCTTGATTATTTATTTTTTTTACAGGAGAGCAATTTAACAATTAATTTTTAAAGCCCCCCCCCCTCAAAAAAAAATAATACTAGTAGTAATATATAGTGCTGAACGTTTTTTTTTAAAATCTGCTTTATAAATATTAGATAGCGCCGTAATTTTATCCTTGTATACAAATAAAATTGTTGTTTTCGAGTAACATGTGTGGTATAGTCGGTGAGTGCGTATGTCACTATATAGATCTTAGTTCAAATCCAGGAAGGCTAAGTTTTTTTTTTGAAGCTAACCAAATGGTTCTGTGCTATGGGGTGTGATATGTAGAATATTGAAAGCGATCGTATGATTCCGTTAATAGAAATTAAAATGCGTCTTATTATATTTAAAAAAAATTTGGTCGTTGTTTGGCAAAGTATTATATGGCCAACGCTCTATGTCATTACTTATTATGAAAATACGTAATTTTGTATGGTTACAGCTAGTGTTGTTAATCGACTAAGTCTAGTCGACTTAGCCGAAAACTGACTCGAGTTGTGAACTCAGGTCTATCAACTTGAGTCGACTAGAGGACGAATAATTCTATGAACTTTGTCGACTAGAGGACGATATAGTTCCATGAACTTGAGTACTAAAGGACGAAAATTTTAAATTAGTTATTATTAATAAAACATTTGTTTTTTATTTTTAACTTTAGATTTCCAACTTGAGTCGTTATTTATACGAAATATAATATACTTGAGTCGATTAGAGGACGAATAGTTGACGAAAATTTTAAATTAGTTATTATTAATAAAACATTTGTTTTTTATTTTTAACTTTAGATTTCCAACTTGAGTCGTTATTTATACGAAATATAATATACTTGAGTCGATTAGAGGACGAATAGTTCTATGAACTTGAGTCGTCGACCAGAGGACGAAGATTTGAAATTAGTTATTATTAATTAATAAAACATTTGTTTTGTTCTTTTTATTTTTTACTTTAGACTTACAACTTGGATCGTGAACACGAGTTATATACTTATGTCGACTAGAGAACGAATAAATTACTGGGAATGGGGAAGATCGTGATTTAAAACAATTTAATATAATATAGCGATACACTTTATACCAACAAGATGTTTATTATAAAAATCGCGAAGGGGGGGGGGGTGTTACTGCTTAAAACCTATATTGCCGACTTTTTTTAGATGAACCAGAGCTCTATTATGTCAAGACAAACATTGGTTTTAATGTAGACCTTTTTTTTATCGGGATAATTTTTTATCCCACGAAAATAATTTCTGCCTGAAATTTTTTTTTCAATAATTAATATAATTTGAATTTATTTTTTGCTTCTTCGAAACACTCCCTTTTTTTTCTTTTTAAAAATATATTATTTGTTTTCATGGTACTTTTAAAATAAATAAGATCTTTATTTTTTATTTTTATTTAGTTATTATAATAAAAAAAGTAGAAATGGCGAAGATTTTCCGGTTCATTTTTTGGAAGAATATGACTTAAAAAATGAAATGGAATTTTGATGTCTATGGATTCAAATATTCTTAACTCACTCTTTATCATGAATATGGTTATTCAAGACTCAAAAACAGATAAAATTTATATTAATTACTAAATTACTATTACAATATCGGAAAGGGTAAGTTCCACTCATTTAGTTAAAATACAACTGGGTACAAGGTTTGTTGGTATTCTTGAGAAAAAAAAATCGGCATAATTTTATGAAGGGTGGGCCTTCATAAAATTCACGTTCTCTCATTTTGGGCAGGTCTATGACCAACGTGCTAGATAAGATAAGATAAAAAAAAGTAACATACTTTATTGTTTTATTTATAAAAATTTAATTAATAAAAAATTCATTCGCGTAGATTTTTTAGCTATTCAAATGTCTTATTTATGTGAGTGAATAGTAATTCTATATTTAATATTCTCGTAAAAATTCGCGAGACATAATTTTTGATATTTGAGAATTTTCTAAGCTGAGGTAATTTTAAAATAAATTCAATGTTAAACTTTATTTTAACTTTACATAAAAATTATTTATTAAAATAGAGAAACATAAATTAAAATGATCTTTGATTTTAAATTTGTAAAACCTTAGATAAAATCTAATAAAAAGAGGCCTATAATCTTATATTAAATAAATTATTACTAAATATCTTCAAAATAATATATAAATTACACAATATTTATTTATATTTTAAATATTTATTGATAACTATAATACAAATAACAAGATTTATAATAGAATCAATAAGATACAAATGTATATATATATATAATGATTTCATATTGAAACATCCCAATTATTTAAGCATATACAATGTTTAAATGTTGTTGGGGACATCCTGTTTCGCTTCTTGGTCAAAAAATCAAAGGCCTTGCTGAATTCTCTTTCGCTTGGAACGCTGGACGTTTGTTGAGCAAGGTAATCCTTAGCTATCAGCGACAAGGTTGGGTAAAAATCGCTGTTTTTCGCCCACCAATCAAGTATATTAGTTGACGCTGGTGCAACCGGTTCTTTGACATATTCTATAACTTCATCTCTTGTGAGATCTGAAAATTATAAATTAATATAACCAAATATTTATAATTACTTTCTCAATTCGTGATGCATACAGACCGAATAAGGCTGTTTCCAAATCATCTGGAGAGAAGTCATACACATTTGCTTTGTGTGGCCACCCGTAGGTTTTATATAATAAATTGAATTTTTCATTATAATCCTGCTTTGCTACAAAATGAGGCATATATTTCATCTTAGTTTTCGGATCTAACATGGTAGATACATAATTGCTCAATGTACTCTGATAGTTTTTATACTTTCCACATTTTCTGCATTTTACTTGCCGCATTTTTAATATCATCATCTGGATGATTTTTGGAAGCCTCCCCTAAAATTTTGTCCATCTTTGCAATAAATAAAACAGCGGTTCCAATTGTACTAGTATCTGACGATATTTCGAGTGTTATTTTATAAAAAGGTTTTAAAAATTTTCAACTTCTTTTAAAGATTTTGCCTCCCAAAGGCTCTGTCATACATTTTTTTCCTAGTTCTTTAATTGCATCTAAATTCTATATAAATTAAATATATTATTAGACAATGCAATGTTATATCTCAAGAAGGTTATCAAAAGAAGAATATAAAAGACATTATGAAAAAATATGTTTAACTTACTTTGTTTACTGTTGATATCATTAAATATTTAGAGTTCCATCTAGTTACTACATCTAAAGGAATCCTCGTTCCTCCTGAGAGCTCTAAGTACCTTTGTAAAAGTTTTGGTAAAGAATGTAACATCTTTACAAGATTAGTTCTTTTATTTAGTTTTTTATCTAAGGCTGAAATCCCCTCTTTAACTATCAAATTTATAATATGGGCTTCGGTGGCTGTATAAGCTTGTTTTATATTTTTCATGATAAAGTGTAATCATTTTTTCAGCAGCGTTATCTTGTTCTGAATCTCAAATTCATCGAGAGATTCTAACAAATATTGTGATACTCCTCACCACTATGAGGATATGGTAGAATTAAATCTAGAAGACAACTTTTCATTTTCCACTTTTTATCGATATAGTGGCATGTAATTACACAAAAAGACGATGAGTTAATGAATGTCCACATATCAGTTGTGATAGCCAATTTACTTTTAATATTCTTTAAATTTTTTGAGTTGTAATTTTAAAAATTTATACATTTTTTCAATGTATTTACAAGCTGTCTGTCTTGTCCAGATTTTCTCATGCTTGAATATGAAGGAAAATATATTTCGGAACTCCTTACTATCCATAGCTTTGAAAGAAATGTTGTTTTTTTCAAAATTAATTTGTTAAGGCATTCGTTTTCCTTAGGTAATAATCTACGAATGCCAACTAGGTTTTTGGGTCTATCTTCGCTCTCTCCATTCCCAATTATGGATGATTTCTTCTAACGTGATTTTTTTTGGCTATAAAAATTAATATAGCTCATAATTTTATTTGTTATAATACTTGTTGCAGTGTGAACGCTAAAATATCTATTACACATTTTACACATTCGGCGATTTTTGTTGGGGCTTAATTCAAACATGCTCTTTGTATTAAAAGAAATACTATCTATCGATGTATTAACTGATGAATCAGATATTACTGATATCTGACTCATATTGATGTCTTGATCGAAGATCTTGGTTGTATGCAAGGTCATTAATCACATTTATAATTACAAAAAATTGTTACATAATTCTACCTCCGAGTCAAGGTCCATGTTATTTAGTAGAGGGTTGCTGTTATCTTCATCATTATCTTGGTACGACATTTTAGTATGAAAAGATGTGAAATAAAAAAAAATAGGAAAATGATTTTTTCAAATATGTTTTCATATAAAATAATTTTAAATATGATTGTGCAAAAAAAAATTATTAATAAAATATAAGAAATAAATAATTAAAAATTATTAGTAACCCCCCACACCTCAATAATAACCAATCCCTCCCCTTGTTTCTTTCTCCCAAAATAAATCTATCTCTTTCAAAATAAATTTTGGGCTATTTTAAAAAAGTTATAAAAAAGTAAAATTTTCTTGTTTTTTTCACCATTAACAATATTTATTTATTTAAATAAAAAATTTTTTATTTATAAATAAATTTTTGATATGTTCAAACGATTTATATTAAAAAGAATAGTAAATAAATCATGTATTAAAATTGCACATATACAGTAATAATATGATTTGTTATTGTTGTAACATATTTCCATAATGTGAAAAAACATTCTTATATAGTTAAATAACTTTCCCATAATTATTGTAAAA